CTCCTTAATATCCATAGAATGTGTTCATAGACTTGCAGTCTACGAGGTGGATGACACGTTATTTTGAAAGTCGTAGAATTTGTCAGGACCACCGACACCGGAATTCCAGAAACCGGTGTCACGCGGTAATGATTCGGTAACGCCTAAGTTTATCACCACGGGGGCATTCCTCGACTTGTTGCGCTCTGCGGCGTGCAAGATCGGCTGGGTGGGCCGCCGAACTTTGTGGGTGGGTGATTACTCCTCGTCCCGTTCAAGTCGCCGCTCGCTCTGTGGTGTCCGCTAAGTAATTTTAGCGATGACACCCGGGCCAGATGCGGGGTGCCGCCGATTATACACCGTAATTCCGCGTTAAAAATATCCTGGCGATAAATTTTCGCCCCAAATGTGGGGAACGGACCATCTGGGGGTCACACCAAAGATTCCATTTGCACAGAGTCAGCAGCAGCGTTCAAAGGTTACAAATAACGCCGGAGAGTTAACGCACGAAAACCATAAAGAAGAATATTTATGTTCATGGAGTAGTAAAACATGGTTTCTTTTTTTTTTTTTTTATCTATTTTCAATTCTGAATTTTGCTCTTGGTTCTCTTGCTCCCGCTGGAGGAGGATCGAAGTCGATCATCTTGATGCATAGGAAGGCTGACAAAGTAGCAATATGGATGAAACCTCTGTTAGGTTAGCTCCACTTTATGGTTCTCGAACAGTTAATTACACAGTGAACTTTTGAAATCGTTATACAACTGTATTTAATAAATAGGAATATATTAGTCGTTGAGCATAAGATAAAATATAATTTTGATTTTACTAAGAGCGTACGAACTATCCTTCTATGTAGTTATGTTTCACTATTCCAAAGCCATAGAATATTTTCACGATCGGTAGAGACTCGCAAAGAAGAGATAAGCTACTGTCCCAGGAAAGTAGAAACGTTGGAATTTCTCTTTATTCTCCTATTTACAATATGTTTACATAGACATTCGACAAATTAGATTTGCGTGTTGGTAATTATTAGACAGCGGGAGTTTATGCATTTATAATATCTCCTAACTTGCAAAATGCAATAAGGTAAAGGTTTTGCTAAATCTTCATTCAGGCCCACAAAATGACCAAAACTGTATGAAGTCCATTCTTTCTATAAAAACGCTATTTTACATGTTCCCAGTGCCAACCCTTACGGTAAAAATTATTTCATTCTAAGTCGTTCAATTTGTAATATAATGTAAAAAAGATATTACGTCCATATCTTGTTCCGAACCAATCAATCTAAAATCCATCACACAGGGGACTTAATGCACTGTTCACCATTTCTACATATCGAAACTACTCTGTACTCTGTTCAATAGTTCGAAGGCAGCAATTATTTCTCGTTGAATTCTTATTAAACGGTTCCCAAGTTACAAGGTGTTTCCACCCTTCATTTGCTCCCCTCCGAGCTTCGAAAATTTTCCGTGCAATGCCAGCGCGCACAGTCATCAAACACGTTGTTCAAGGATATCCCACGAGGAATCCACAGAACAACAACGTTCGATCACCAAGAGATCGAGGCTCGGGTCTCCACGGCGACGTCTTCGCGGATCGACCTTCGCTAACGATCCCGTACACGGATCGTAATTTTAGAAATGATAGCGCAAGCGACAGGCTTGTACGAGACGAGGTTTGCCCGCACGAGCGCATGTGTCTGTCCCCCTCTGTGCGTGTCCTCTCCTCTCCTTATGAGCGCGAAGGACACGCGCGCGCGGCATGTCTCTCCTTCCTGCGTCCTTTTGTGCTTTCTGGGAAACGTCGAGCGCCGGCTGTGGTAATACGTCGCGCCGATTGGCCGTCGTGATAATGGTGAACGCGCGCGAGGCTGTCGCTACGTGACCTGCGATTCGAGCCGAGTCATTAATATCATTGTAAGCTGGACGTGCCGTGCACTTTCGTTCGCCGGTGAAATCCGTCCGATGACTGACAATCGATTTTCTATCGCGGTGCTGCGTGACATCGGACACGATTGGCCGCGATTGAAAAACTTTTCGAGGCGCAGAAACGCACGTGCACCTGACAGACTTATGATGGTACGTTTCTTTGGCAGTTTAAAAAAAAAATTGTAGGATGAACCGTTGCTTGGGGTCGGATTAAAACGGTGTGACGCGTCGATTCACCTTTATACAGTAAATACTTGATAAGTGTTCGAAGGCTCCTCGGCACTGAATATTAACCTTTTGCACTCGACTGTCGCCTCTGAAGCGACAAAATGTATGGAAAATTAGAAATTCCGAGTGGAAAGGGTTAAATATTTTATTAATTAATGGCCACATGCGGCTGAAATAAATACCATTGATTTTAGAATTCCAAGCTCTATCATTGTGGTAAACCGCGTTAAAAAGTCAGCGTTACACCTGGGAAGTTACACAATAGGGATCCTCCAATAGCTTTGAGTGGTGTGTATAGTGCCGTTTAGATCCTATATCGGCCATTTGGCAGAACTACGTTGCTAACAAATGAATTGTGTGGGTCTCATTGAGAGACTTGTAGAGATAGGTACTATATGTATAATGTCTCTCATTTATTTGCATTAGGATCATATCTCTCAAATATTTAGGGAACTGTTAGCCTATAACTTGTTCTACACATGAAATCACTGAATACAGATTGGACTAATTTCAATACACAATAATGAACATCAATCTCATTATCAGTTATCACAAATAATGGACGGCTCATTTCAAGTACTTGCCAAGTACTTGGTATCGATCAGCTGTCCTCGAACCTGTAAAAAGAGTATGTACAAGGTTCAAAAGTCTACTTATAAGTAGTTCATGTTCGATCAATCGTCCTCGAGTAATATTTAAACCTCATTCAAGATTCAAATTCACGCTCGAGGGACAAAAAGAATCGAGGTACACTGAATAAATAGTTCAAATATACTCTTATCAGGGTTTCCAAACGTTCGCCTATAGTTCAGGAGTCGATACTGCTTCCATCATGCATGGTCACCTTTCCAATCACACTTTGCTCGATTCTACTTTGCGAACACAATGTTCAACTTCCGCGACAATAGTGTATTCAGATACCAAATCTCCCAAACGGCACTCGACTTCTATTTTCGGGCGTCGTAGCAACCATGATTGGAACGTGCAAACGGAATTCGTAGATCATCGATTACTGGGAAAGGGTATAAATCGTTAGGAACGTCGCGATAATTCGTCGTAATTTTAGCGATGATGATGTCCGACGATAATGATGCGCATACCTTGAAACGTGATTCCCCCCCTCCCTCGGACGATCTATCTGGCTCGGGCGATAGCTTATCGGCTGTTGGATCACGGATATTTTTATCGAAACATCTCGTCGGATTAAGCCTCCCGCGATATCGGCAAGGAGGAAACGATAACGCTTGCCTGATCGTGTACATGCCTTTCCATCTTTGTTTATTTCTTATTTTTTTTTTTTTCTTCATCTTGCGATCGATCATTGCGCAACGCACGGCGCCCCCTTTTGCCTTGGAACGAGAGCGTTCATTGGAATCGATTCGAACAGCGTTGCTCAACCGACTCGTCGATAATACGACGAACTTCTTCTATCCGGCTCTAACATAAAGAAAAACGGTCGCCTAATGCGCAAGTGGACTTTCGAAGGCAATCGCGTACCGCGGCGCAGCTGCCAGCGAAAAACCATTTGTTTCCCAACCGTTTCTTGATCTCGCGTCGCTTGCACCTGGCCAACCCGAGTGTTTACGCTAGTGCACGATTCGCCGAGCTGCGTGCACACCACCATACCACCCCGTTCTTTGTACTCTGTGGGCACCGGCTCCAACCCGAGTGTTTACGCTAGTGCACGATTCGCCGAGCTGCGTGCACACCACCATACCACCCCATATTATATGTACATTCTTTGTACTCTGTGGGCACCGGATGCGATAGATAGTATTATTGGACTATTAACGGGGACGATGAGCACTTTTCGAGGTTTGATTTCTCACGCCAAGTATCATTTGTATCCCTAGAATCGTTGATTCCGTTGAGATTTCTATTTTTGACATTGCCTCGAAGTGTTTTTTCTTTATACGATATCGTATTCCGATCGGTAAGAATTTTGTTGCAGTTCATGATTCTCTATGGGGAGAATAACCTTCGTAGGTCACAAGACTTCTACCTTAAGGTATGGCCCATTTGGGCCCACTATATCAGAATCTTTATTTCCAATATAGGGGATGGAGGGGCAACATGGAATTAGATATTATATATTATATTCCTAGTAGATTGAAAGCATACATAGCTCGTTAACTTTCACGAGACTTGTACCCTCACGAGCAAACCCGGCTTCCGCTAGGGGAAAAGTGGCGTTAGGGAAGAGCCTATCACTTGATCTCGGAAGTTACTGAAATTTATGGTAAATTAACATTCGGTTTAACATTTATTTTATTGCTTGAAATACATTTACCAAGCGGTACGAAGCCATTATCCCTACGCTACTTGTTGCCCTAGCGGAAACTGAGTTTTTTCGTCATTGATTACGGTTACCCCTGCAATTATTGTGGTGGTGAGATATGGTACCCCGCAATATTTTCATCGTTAAAGCTTTTATGTATACCTGTACCGATAAAACAAGCCGATTGAAATACTAAAAAGTGGAGTCAAAGAACGTGTGTAGTGAAATAGAAACCACACTCTACTAACCCATTTGTATCATTAGCGTATATATACGTACAACTTTCCTATATAGTCACTATCACGGGAATGTATTGTATATACGCATGTACCAAATATTACGTCTTTTTATACTTTGAGATATTTGTAGTTCATTTAATAAAAAAAAATTTCATGTTCGAGGCCTATTTTTCATTTGTTTTCTTTCCAAATGATGCAAATGGGTTAACCAATACAACTAGCAATACCGCCACGGTATATCCCCAGCCAGTATGGATGTTGACCTCCGACAGTTATCCAATTGTAAAGTCTGAAAAAAAATGATAGGATATCCCAATTAACATAAATCTGTTGTTGGTTGTTGCAGTTGGTATCCTTGGACGGATTACACAGCGGAGTGCCGACCAGAACGACGCCGACGCTGACGCCGACGACGCTCCGCAGTATCGAGCAGACGTTCTTGGAGCTGACCAGCGAGTCAGCGTCGCACAGTCGCGAGGCCGGGTTCGTGCCGCCCCTGGTCGAGCCGTCGCAACCGACGCCGGCACAAACGCAAAACACGACGGCGCATCACATAATCGCCAACACCGCCACGAGTGCCGCCCCCGTGGCACAGAGCACCACCACCCTCGTGGAGGGCCCTCATAATCAGACGGAACCGCAACAACAGCAGCAAACGGCGAGGCGCAACATGGGCGGCAGAAGGCCCACCAGAACGATCGGGATGAGCCCGGAGGAGGAGGAACGACGGCAGATCCGCCGGGAGAGGAATAAGATGGCAGCAGCACGATGCCGCAAGCGACGAATGGATCACACCAATGCCCTGCTAGAAGTGAGTTTACGTTGTTTTTCTGTGTGTTAGAGTAGATTGACCCAGTGACGGATCCAGGAGACTTTCTTATAGGGGGGTGGGGGGTGGATATTTAAAAGTACATAGGTACATTTTTTTAAATCATCTTTTATATGTGTAAGTAACAATATTGTTATATTCTGTTCTTCTTGGGGGGATCGCATCTATCGCCCCTCTCTGGATCCGCCATTGGATTGACCCTGGTCCGATCAAAGACACATGGGGGGACTACCCTCATCTGACCGATGTCGTTTGGAATTACTTTATGACCAAATGAAAGTAGAGTGTATACCCTCGTTAAGTAAGTCAACTGAAGTAACCAATCACGTTCATCGGAAAGAGGAGTCTAAACGATAAGAGACATTCAGTGGCTATTGCTAAAAGTTTGAATTAGAACCAGGGGAAAATATATATCGTCGTATTTCCTATCAAGCTTTTCCTTCTTTCTTCCACTTAAACTTGGGGTAACTAATACACGTTCATTGATTCCAGGAGACTGAGGGTTTGGAACAGAAGAAACAGTGCTTGCAAGAGGAGATCCACCAGCTGCAACAGGCGAAAGACGAGCTAGAGTTCATCTTGCAAGCCCACAGAGCCGTTTGTCGGATTCGTTCCGCGTCCCCGCCGGATGTGAAGCCGGTGATAAAACCGTCGGCGGGCCTTCCAGCCGAGGATCAATTCGCCGAGAACGATAACAGCCTGACGAAACAGGAGACAGCAGCAGCGAACGCGAACTTGAGACCGAACCGACCGAACTCGTTGCCGGTCGGGTTCGACAACAACAACCGACCGAATTCCTTGCCTATCTTCAACGAGCCGAAAGAGAGACCCGACACGTTGCCGTTCAAAACGGTCGAGACACCGGCGTTCATGAAACCGTCGCTGGACGTGGCCGGTATGCCGATCACCACGCCGACCAGCGGTATACCGTTCAATTTCGAATCCCTGATGGAAGGTGGCACCGGTCTGACGCCAGTCTCCACGCCAATGATACCGTCCTGCTCGACGCAGCAGAGGAACAACCTGTCCGCGGTTGATCTGAGCTCACCGGACGCAAATCCACCGAAGCTCGTGAGCTTGTGACGCCAGGCAGACCTCGAGTACGGATCGAACGAGGACGATCCGGAATGAATGGGGTCGTGTTTCACTTGCTACAAATATTACTTTTTTTTGCGGACGAATCGTAGAATGTACAGGAGGAGGGAGGAGGAACCATGACGCGAAAGGAAGCTTGACGAAGTTCTTTTCTACATCACCAGAGAGAGAAAGAGACAGTTGCCATACCGTCGTCGACCACTGAGAAGAATATAAATTGATCTTTGTCGGGCAGTATTAAAACGAGGAGAAAGAGGAGGAGGATACCTCGCTCCGCATCCTTTTGCAACGAATAATCTGTCTTTTCTCCAATTATTCCGCGTTCCCCCGTTAGACCGAGCGCCGATCCACGTATTCTCCGTTGGACACCGGGAAACGCCGCGAGTGCCCGGATGCATTTCTCCGACAATTGGAAACGTGTTTCACAATACACACACGCGAGACACTTCGTCGACAGTGAAGCTTTTTGACTCGTTTGTAAAAGCGGAAACGAACAAGTACGATGCAATAAAAGTGATGTCGTTGCACTCTGTTCTATTTTATTGTATATTCGACGGACATGTTTTTGTAACGATCACTCAGTACCCGGACGGGTTACCATTGTCACGAGATTTTGTGGTAAACGTTCGCGTTCGATCCGTGTTTTCATGAAAATTCAGTATTGTACGCCTGTAAAACGTGTGAACCCGTCGAGGCAAGCTCTCTGGTTTGTGCTTTACTACGACCACAACAGCGGAGGAGGAAACCTTTCTGATTCGTTTTTGAGGCTGAAAAAGAGGGGGAGTTCTCTTGTGTCTGCGTATTAGGCGGCGTGAATCAGTAGCCGGAAAATACATTCGAGGAGCGAAGTATTTTTTCTTTTACAGCTTGAGGGGGTAATGCTAGTGTCAAATATGTAAAAAAAAAAAACCGCCGATTGGTATGAAAAGAAAAAAAATTTCAACCAGATTATCGAATTACAGTATCTGAGAATGTAATGAAATTTACGTAACTAGGTTTACTAAAATAAGTTAAACTAAATTTATATAAATTATAGATACAAAACTGCATACCGATATCTCCAGTAGTTTTTCCGCAACGAAATTCCGAAGCTTTCGGTTTTTCTTACCCCCTCTGGCAAATAGTCGCGGACGATAACGGTTATCAGCGCGCGCAAGTGATATGTATTTGTATTTAAACTCGTAACGTTTCACGCAAACAAATTAGGATGTAACGACGAGCATATAATAAGATTGTCATTTTATTCGTTTTTTTCTGGTTCTTTTTCTTTTTTAAGAAATCGAGTTAGGTGAACACTTTTTTATACTACTACGATAATTAACTGATTCTTTCCGAACCTTATGCCTGAAATTCGTTAGAATTCGTCGAATAATCATGTTTTCAAAACCTTACGTAGAATAAGAATTGTCGTCTTTGAATTGCGCCTGATTATCTTAATCGTGAAACGTCGCACAATTCAAAGGTAAACCATTCAAGCGGTTTAGCGGTGACGAGACACACACATACACATACACACATACACACACACATAGACACAGGGTACTCCTAAATTATTTGTCGTTATTAACTAGTGAAGTTTGCTCACCTAATTTAGAAAGACCCTGTGCGTTATATATACGTTTCACCGAAGACGAATCCTATCCAGCGTTCGTTCTGCCTTTTTCGGACTCTCGTCCGAAGCCGTGTCTTATGCAATACTACGAGAAGATTTCTGTGCAACTGAACGTGTTTGCAAGGTCTCATCCCATTTTTTTAACATTTATTCCCTCCATACATATAATATATACGCATACATATATTTTACGATGTATGACAATTTTTGCATGATCTTAAGCAATATTAATATATTTATACGCAACCGTCGGTTGCGAGGCTGGTCGACGTGTTTTCGACGCGGAACTAGTTTTTATTTTCTCAATTCCGATTCAGCTGGTCGCCGCGGGGTATGCTCCGATGTCTCGGCCAGGCCCGCAATCGACGCTCGCACAACCGACGATCGTATAAGAAAAATAAAATTATAACGCACCACTGATAATGCTGCAATATATTTTCATTAGTTTGAACGAATAAAATGAAACTGAACATGTAAACTCTTCAGGGGGGGACAATTACGACGTGCTTCGGTCGTATGAATCGTGTTACTCCCGGCTTAGGTGTATTGTGTACGGTTGCCTTCGTGGGAACGGTGCCCCATGTGGAGCAGCGTTCAGTGATACGTGCAAATAATTTTTACGTTAGAACAAGACGAATTTACATCTTTGTAAAGTTGAAACTGCTGATTTCTTAATACAAAAGAATTTCGAAAAGGAGAAATGACAATTGAGACGTTTACGAGAACAACACTCTTTCTCTCACCTTTATTATCGTTTAATAATCTCACTTTAACAAAATCCTGTAATCCTCTTAATGGTTTCCGCTTCGTTGCTTGGATCGATATGTCGATAATGACCGAACTCCAACGTGAATGATGCATGTCCCGATGAAATTCTCCTCAGTATCGTTGAGTATCCCAATAGTTCCGCCAATGGAACCAAACACCTGACCACCTGTTTACATAAATATCCATTTAAGTGATATTCAGCGAACCGTCGAATGCGAGTAATTGAGAATAATAATATACAAAAGAAGATGAGGTGTTAGGAAGGTTTAACTACCTTGCTCGAACCACGTGCATCGATATCTTGTATCTCCGCCCGTCTCTTCGAAAGGTCCGACATAACAATGGTTGAATAATCTTCAGACACCACGACCTCCAGCTGCATTATTGGCTCCAGCAACACAACTGTGCCTTTCTGCATTAGCTGAACACGGATAATAAAGGCATATTACAAATTCAGAACCCAAAGAAGCCTTTAGCGTTAAGTAAAAAAGAATTCGCGAAATACAGAAACACCGATGTTCGATCGTCCAAGGCCAACAAGGAGTCACCCTCAATATAGTTTTTAATCGGCAACATCTAATACTTGGGGATTATTCGATAGTATCTTTAATTCTTCTCCGAAATTGATAACTAGATTACAGATACTTATGCATTTACAGCAGAGACCGATCGCGAAGCCACATTAACTAAAAAAACTACATCTAAAGCTACATCTCGATTTCATTTCCGTTCTTGTAGTAAATTAACTACTAGAAAAATGATATTCGTACGAAAATGCGCCAGTCTATGGGCACGGATCAGCCTGTGTTGAAAGAAGAAAATCGATCGATAGCATTCAGTTTCGAATGAACCGATCCTCGTATCGAAGTTCGCCGCGTTTTCCGGCAACGACACGCAGTCGTCAAATAAACAAGCGAACGGAAAGATGTAAATCCTAAAGTGCAGATCCGCGTAAATGTTTCCTAGTTTTCGTCAAATAATTTCGTAGTTTAATGGTGGCCGGGTACATCTCCCTACTATACAGTATCAGCGAGAAGCCGTTAGAGTACTGGAGTAAACAGCACTCGCAGTCTGGTCGTATCCGGAAAATCCTCGATTCGGATTTGCTGGAAAATGTACGTGCATCGGAGGTGAACGTCAAACCGACGTGTTTTCCGTACGAACTGGTTCGAAGCGGTTAGAATTAATTAGAGTCGTAAATGGTTGGCAGGTTATCGAAATACAGGACTTCGAGCAACCGCATGATTATGGAACCTCTATCCTTTGTCCGTCCGATTCGTCGCAGTTTCTGAATATCGAATTACCAATCCTGGTTGTGGTTATAAAGAATCTGAACTTACATTGTCGATTGCAAGTGCAAGTAAGCATGAACGCTGGCTTTTAGTTAGTCAGAAAATCTCTGTAGTGACCAGTGTGGAACACTATTCGAGTAATTTGTTTTTTTGAATAGGGAATCATCGTAACTTATAGACGATATGTTGGACCATAGGAGTAATTTACCATATATCATGACCTATTTAACATTTCGACCATCTTACCTTAACCTACTACCATTTTCGTCTAATTAACCTTGTATATCTACCAGAATCATCTTCAAAGAGGACTTCCGAGTTCACAACTTAAAATGTATCGATAAGAAGACTCTGCTATCGATAGCGCTGTTCACTTTCAAGAGTCTACTGATGATTTCAGTATAGAAATTATGGAACGTTCTTAGGTCCAACATGCGTACTAAGAGTTAACATGGTCCTCGACAATAAATAATCTACTGAAATTAATGAGCGTGTCACTTCGGTCGGATCACAGGTGGTGGACACGCAAAATTGTTTGCATCACTTTCAATTCACTAACGCAGAGTCCGATAAGTACAACGCTAGAGGTGTGATATGTCGCGTGAAGGTGAAACTCGAAACCGGATGGAACAAGCTGGAGCTGAATCTGTCGCAGTTAACCCAGACCGCGTTCAAGAGCATTTACGCTGCCACTCAGAGATTGCAGATATGTGGGAACTGTCGCCTGCGTAGGATCTATTTCATAGACAAGCACTACGAGCAACAAGAAGTTTGCCCCGAGCTCTACCATAGGTTCCTCGACGCTTACATGCTGAAGTGGGGTATACACAGCATCGACAAGTCGACCCAAACCAACGTCAAACGGACTAAAAGCAGAATAAGGGAGAACACTAATCAGAGGAACGGTTTGAAGCACCTTGGCGGCGACAATGCCAACTCAGAAGAGAGTAACAGCACGAAGGGTGCTAAACGCAAAATGATCAATGAGAACTTTCTGCGAAGCTTGCAGATGAAAAACGACATACTGATCAACGACTTCCTCGATAGACAGTCCGGCAAGTTGACACGGGTGGCAGAGTTTAAACAACAAGCCAAACTGAAGTGCTATGCTCTTCCATCGATAGAGAAGCAAGCCAGATACTTCGATCCGAATATGGTCTCACATGATGCTCTGAAGAAAATCGGTGTCCTCAGAACGGTCACCGACTCGTACATACCCACCGAGGACAAGCTAAAAGAAGACTACTCGGTAAGGGCTATACAGGAGAAATGGCAGCATAGATACTTCTTGCGACACGAGGACACGAACAGCAGCAACACATCTGAACAGAATAAAAGAACCATGTTGGACCGAAAACCCAAGTCTATGTCGGTTTTGTCAGAAATGAAAGCTGTTGGCGAAAATGAGAAGATTTTAGACTCGAAAAAGACAGTCGAGACGATCAAACAAGATGACAGTAGCACGATCGCGAAATAAATGTTAAAAATGTTTGTTTGCATATTACGTTTCAATATACCCTTTCGTATGATCTAAGAAACCTGAGTTACCTTTTTGATACTCTGAGCCATAGCAGCAGTAATAATTGTTGTTGTTGTACCAGGTTTACACTCGAACCAATGTAACTTAACACCCATGTTTATAACTGGGTAACTCAGTTTTGGTCCATGAAATTGAACAAATTTCGCACCAGCTTCAAGTGCTTTCAACATTTTTGGACGTATAGCAGAAATATTTTCTGCATATTCACGTGATCTGTCTAGTAGCAATGTTTGACTACCCTGATAATCGGGTATGAGTGATATTGTGACTGTAACAGAATAATTGTTTGTCCCTATTTTGAACTCAGGCGTGAAAGTATCTTTAACAGGATTTTTTATGGTTTCCCTGTAAGAAATTTGCAAAGGTCCTAAGTCAGCATCAATTTTGAATTCCGATCTGATTCTTTCTTTAATGATTTCTATATGCAATTCACCCATACCAGCAAGCACAGTCTGACCACTTTCACTGTCCTGAGTTACTCTCAAACTTGGATCTTCTCTTTCAAGTTGCTGAAGGGCAGACTCTAACGCTCCCTGAAAAGCAAGAGATGGTGCCTCTATGGAACAGAAGAAAACAGGCTCTAATATCCTCGAGGTTGAGGCAAAAAAATTTTCCACGTCTTCTGGACTGATGTTCTCCTGTGATTCCAGCTGCTTCCTGGCTCTGCTAGCTTCTGTTGCGTTTGTTGTTACTAAATCACCAGCCATAGTATTTTTCAATCCTGTAACTGCTACAATGTTACCATGACCAATCTTAGATATCTCTTCATAATCATCTGCACATCACTCTTTCATTTTTCTGCATGCTTCCAGTGTAAATTCTAAAAAAGGTGATAGGTCCTTTCTGTTTATCATGAACGATTTTAAATACTCTGGCAGACAAATGTTGGTTAAAAGAATGATAATATTTCATGTGTTTATTTTGATCAGGTGATGGCAGATACATGAGGATGCTGTCCATTAAAGGTTGTACTCCTACATTTTTGTAAGAACTGCCAACCAGTACAGGAACACCCTTCATACTTACGGTACTTCTGTATAAAGAATCAACTAACAATTGTGACGAAATTGTGTCCAAAGATTCTTGTTCGATGATAATATCTGCTAGTTTATCATCCATACTGGACAGTTTGTCAGTCAAGCTTCTACGCTTTTCTAGTGCCAATTCCCATAAACTTTTGTCCTCTTTTTCAGACAGTTTTAGTTTTGTATATTTAAAACCCATATCCTGTTGCGAAAACATCATTTTTTCTAAAGAGACCACATCCACTATACCTTTCAAAATCCCTTCAGCTTTGATAGGAAATTGTGTGGGCAACACCTCTACGTTTAACTTTGACTCAATAGACCTTAAGTTCATGTCAAGATTTCCATCTAGTCTGTCCATCTTGTTTATATAAATAATCCTAGGTATATTGTATTTGTCGGCTTGTCTACACACTGTTAATGTTTGAGCTTCTACACCAGCAGATCCGTCAAGTATAACGACTGCTCCATCTAACACTCTCAGAGTTTGCTCTACCTCCATGGTAAAGTCAATATGTCCTGGGGTATCTATTAAATTAATACGATGGTTCTTCCATTCAAACGTTACTGCTGCAGAAGTGATGGTTATGCCGCGTTCACGTTCTTGGTCCATGTAATCCGTCACCGTGTTTCCATGATGCACCTCCCCCATAGTCTTAATGAGACCAGAATAGAATAACATTCTTTCTGTGGTAGTTGTTTTGCCTGAAAAATCATTATTAAAACTTACTTTCAGAACAAATATGTCACACAACAATAGGTTACATTGAAAAATATATAAAAATTTAACAAACCAGCGTCGATGTGCGCCAAAATCCCGATATTACGAATCTTCGCGACATCGTGATTCCCATGTTCATCCTTCACAGCTGTAGAACGGCTGTTCGTGTATCGTTTCTGACGCTTACACCAAGTCGTTACTAACCTACGTTTCAACATGACTTCTAATCATGGACCTGATCAGTGATCAGATCCATGCTTCGAATCTAGTTAAAGTTAAAGATAGAGCACGTCAAAACAACAATGATGGTTGCATCTCGCACGTGATGGAATTCTTATTGGTCCATTTTGCGACGACCAGGGGCGTGTCGACTTGAAACGAACCTGAGCACATAACTCGACTTCTCCATTTCCAACATGACGCCTGCCAAACTCACTAGCGGGCAACATCGTGCAGCCGTGCAGCATGCGGGCATATGGCAGTGGTGGGTGAAATGTGTGAATGAGAGCGCGTATATATCATTTTCTTCCCACACAAATATGTCGTGAATCACGACTCGTGATTCGTGATGTGTTCGCAATCTCTCCACAGAAGTCCGACATTTATCGTATGTCCTCAAGAATGAAAATTTTGACGACAAATGTATGAAACTATTTCATATGAAGCATTGAACATCGTACGGAAGATTTACAAGTTACAGAAGAGGGAATTATTTTTATTGTTATAAGTCTGAATAATATTTAAGCCATGTTTTACTGAATTTATGCACATATTGTTACAAATGTATTGTAAACTCGTACATATATAAGTAGTACTTAAGGCAATTGTTGTGAAATTTATTCAAATACTATTGTAAATTGTGTACTTTCATTAGATTTTTCCAATAAAAAACAGTTAAGTGGTACGTATGTGTTGTTTATTAAGCCTATCACTACACTATCTCATATTTTCCCCTAAATGTCTCATAAATTCCCAAATTTTTCCGGCACTTTTCTGAGTCTAAGATGGCGGAAAAACGGCGGCGTCACAGAACCCCCGGAGGAGGCCCAGAGACCACGTGTGGTGAGATCATGGGGTCATAGAACCCCCGGAGGAGGCGCCTGATACCCCGTATGGAGAGCACGTGGGGTCATAGAGCCCCTGTAGAGGGCGTCAGAGACCCGTGTAGTGCAACGTGGGGTCACAGAGCCCCCGGAAGAGACGCCAGAGCCCACGCGTGGTGAAAAGTGGGGTCATAGAGCCCCCCGCGTGGTGAGAGCGTGGGGTCACAGTACCCCCACAGATGGCGCCAGAGACCCTGCGTGGTGAGAATGTGGGGTCATAGAACCCCCGCAGAGGGCGCCGGAGACCCCGTGTGGTGCAACGTGGGGCCACAGAACCCCCGCAGGGGGCACCAGAGACCCCGTGGGATGGAACGTGGGATCATAGAACCCCCGGAGCATGCACAAAAGTTTGGAAACGTGATCCTTTATCGTTGTTGCTCGTACAATTCTCGAGCTTGGTCTAATGTTGCTCGTGCAACTGTCGAAATCTGACTGACACTTAAAATCATGTTGAATACGTTTTTCTGTTTAAAGATCAAGCACTTACGATCGCAGTGAGCAAATTCACTCAAGATAAAAAAATTGCAATCACGGCCGTGAATGAAGTTGAATCACGACCGTGATCGTGATTCGGCGATCGCTGTGATAAATCACCGTTAGTGATTTTGCACGCCATCTCTAGTTATAACTTCAGAATACGCCGAATTATATTTAGTGACTTTTTTACAGAACATTACATATATCTAGTTTTAATGGTAGTTTCATCGTAATATGTATTAAATTTCTTCCACTTCCTCCTTGTTGATAGATCCCCAAGAGGTCCTGGTAATAGTCCTAAAAGAAAGACATAACAGATATATTTGTAATATTAATTGATCATTACTGCACCGAAATTATATACATGATAATTAACACATGAATATAAATTATATTGTAAAATAATAAATCCAACATAATATGACCAACTTCATATTTCATTTACATTTCATTCCAGTTTTTGTAGATTACTTTTAAAAAATGTAAATTTGCATAAAGATTCATAATCTAATCATTACTATTAAACCTCAATAAATGAATCATTTACCTGCTGCTTGGGCCATCAGAATCATTGTACTAATTCTTTTTTGCTGTATTTTACACAGACCAGTGATTCTTTGTGGCAATATACGACCATCAGACCTTATGAATTGGCTTAGTATAAGAACATCCTACAATAATATTTTCAAATTACTTAAGAGTATATCAAACTAAGGAGATTTAAGAAAGAGCTATAATCTATATGTGAAAATAAGTTCTTACTGTATGTTTGATGTCAATACCAGAAGAACATATAGTACAAGCTCCTTGTTTAGGCTTAAGTAATCGTTTCTCATTTTCATCTTCCTTTATAATCGCCTCAATTATTAACGTATTATCCACCTTCTTCTCGATAACTGAGAATAAAAGTAAGATGAACATTTTATACACACACATAAGTATATAAATTCATAATGTATAGGTTAGAAAAAGTAAAACTGTAATGAAGTTCAACTAATTTTTTAATTAGTATTTATAATTCACGTATTCCACTCACTTTCTTTCAAATATGTTGTAGCAGACAATGATACATTACGGTTCTGTCCCGGTATTTGTATGTTTTTACCAACGTTCTTCACGAACCTAACTAACGCCATTTTGATACTTACAACTCATATGTACATGTGTACGTTATACGCCAAAGCAATCATTATTTTGTACTATTAAAATATTGTATGATAAAAGGCTTATCGTAACGCGTTAATTATAATCATTAGAAGATGATAAATATTTTAGTAGTCTACATTTTCTAAAATGATTAAATAATATTTATTTATAACTAGCAATTCGTCAAATTTAATGTATAATTCACAATGGGCGGTAGAATATATTAATTTTTAGTTTTTTAGATTGGGATTTATGATTTGTTGAATCTATAAACATTTTGAAAGGATCTAGAAATCGATGAGACTTATATAGATAATTTCAATACGATGTTGGTTTTGATGAATATATTGTTAATATATTGTCAATTCATTTCAACGATTTTTAAATTTGAAGTTATTTTACTCTGAAGTTAGTAACGCTTGTGTCCTTTTGTATAGGGGTTCGTGGAAATAAGGTTACGTCTCTGTATTTATCCCCGCCATTAAATTCAAGTCTCTTCGTGACTAGCATTTGTCAAGTCGGCATAATCTTTCTCATAAGCAACTTTTAGTGAAGTTAAAAACTAACTTAAAGGTAAATATTCTTACTTCTTAAGGAATACATTGATTCTAAAAATGGATTTAATTCTGTGTGTCTAAGTGACAGTAATGTGAATATGGTGGTTTTGCTATGTCATTCCAGGCTAACCTCATTCTATTTAAGTTTGTAGTGATTATTTCGAACATTATTGAATAATTGCAATAAGAAAAAGATTATATGAATTTTAATTAATACGTACTACTTGCATACTCTGTATTAAAGTAATATCAAACCTATTTATGTATGCAATAGTGTATCATAACCTTAATATTTGTGTGCAAGTGTATATTATGTATCTGAAATATTACATAGCACATAAAATTGAATTCATAATATCCTGAAAGGTACCTCCATACTGTTGATTGTTTTAGTAAGGAGTAATTTTTAATTGTAAATGTATTTACATTTTTAGATGTTTTTAACACGTTCAGAATATGATCATGGCGTTAACACTTTCTCACCAGAAGGAAGATTATTCCAAGTTGAATATGCTATAGAAGCTATAAAGCTTGGTTCCACTGCCATTGGAATCGCAACATCTGAAGGTGTAGTGTTAGCTGTGGAGAAACGTATCACCTCCTCCTTAATGGAGCTAACAACAGTAGAGAAAATTGTAGAGATTGATAAGCATATTGGATGTGCTGCGTCTGGTTTAATAGCTGATTCTAGAACAATGATCGATCGTGCTAGAGCTGAATGTCAAAATCATTGGTTTGTTTACAATGAGAAAATGTCAGTGGAATCCACTGCACAAGCTGTTTCGAATTTAGCTATACGATTTGGAGATAGTGATGATGATGGTGGTGCTATGTCAAGACCATTTGGTGTAGCAATGTTATTTGCTGGTATTGATGAAAAAGGGCCTCAGTTGTACCATATGGATCCATCTGGCACTTTTGTTCAGTTTGATGCAAAAGCCATTGGTTCAGGAAGTGAAGGTGCGCAACATAACCTTCAAGAAGTATACCACAAGGTAAGCTGATTAGTGTGTGGAATATTTAATCAATATATGTGTGTAATTACTGTTACCAAAGCAGACAAAATAATTATACTTTAAGGATATTTTCTTATTTATATTTTGATAAATTAATGTCAATGTTTTGTAATTTTTACACGTGTTTCTGAAATACATTAGTTATACTGGTACTGAATAAATAACTTATACTTTTTAAATTTTATACTTTTATAAATTTAATGCAATGTAGGATATATCTTATTTCATTGTATGATTTCTTGTTTCAGTCTATGACGCTGAAAGAAGCAATTAAGGCTGCCTTAACAATATTGAAGCAGGTCATGGAAGAGAAACTGAACGATACTAATATAGAAGTAATGACAATGACACCAGAGAATTTATTTCATATGTTCGAAAAACCTGAATTACAGGAGGTGATTAAAGATATTGCTTAAACCTTATAGTGTTTAAAAACATGTTGAATGAATTGACATCAATGCATAAATTTATCTGCAACAGAAATCTGAATGCTCTACAATTGCAAATTATACATACATTTTTCACTTAAACAATATGTAATTTCTATACAATGAACAGTTTTATATTTTTATTTCTTTCTCAAAACAGAAATCGTAATAGTAAACAATGACTAACGTTGCTATTAATGAATCCTTTGTACCTATTCCTAGTTTTCATGTGTGTTTGTAACTTGTGTAACATATTACCATCTATTCCTTTTTCAATATTATCACATTGAATTCAATCATGTTTTTTGAAATGATACAGTAGTGTTGCACTTTTCGTAATCATATTGTTAATATGTGTAATCATTATCTTGTTTCAACGTTTAATTTAGTTAATCGATAATCTACCATCATCGAGGGAAGATTCATTAAGATCAAGATCCAATACCTCTGGTCCACTCCCACCTATATCCATTAGTGGGTGAAAAACACTGCAGAGAAGCCTCGCTTTATTAACATGTCTCATTCCTATCCTACAACTGTCTTTCCATCTTTATCAAGGTACACTTTAATAAAACATTTATTCACTTTGTAACTTATTTTTACATTTTCATTCTTATATTTTTCAAATTTACTCTTGCTCTTCTTATATTGTTGTCCCAAGCATTTAATCTTACGTACGCGTAAGCATTTCTACATCATATTATGCAATTATCATATGTTCATTGAGTTACTTTCCTTATATTTTCGTTTTTGTAAATTTTTAGATTGTTGTATATGCAGCGAGCGATTTCGTTGCATGCACAGTTTCTAACAATTTAGTAATACTAAAGTACCGCGAGATGGCACTTGTTGCATGTCTATTTAAATTTAAAACTTGACGTTTGCTGAAAAGACTTAATAACTGCTTCGGCAAATTGTCTTAATGGTGGTTCGTGAAAGAAAGTGGACAATCAACGTTCAATTTGAGTGGTTTTTTTTGTTGTAAATTTAAATTGGGTCATTTTTAATTGGTTCATTATAGAAACAGGAAAGTAGTGACATAATCACACTATACTATTATCTACCCAGATAGCACATGACGCCTTGAAGATGCCCATTTTACGGCTACTTTAGGTCTAAGTCTGTGCTATCTGGGTACTAAATAACTACTTATTACAATCCTTAATAAAAGTGTGTCTTATTATTGTACATGAAACACCATGTATATTTTGTTATATTGATTCTTCTTTCTACATCATCAACATTAATTTTGGTAAAAGTTACGTTTTTCCTAAGTAATCCCCAAGAAGTTTTCGCCGCCGCTCGTTTTTTTATTAGAAAGTTGATATCAAAAGAAATTTGCAACGTATACCAGTTACTTATTTGAGTATCGAAAGGCAACTGTCCCTAACCAACTCTGAATTACGTTTTTTCTGTGAACTTTCTGATGATGCTTCAGAGTTGATTAGAGACAGTTCAAGGAAAAAAGTAATTCAGAGTTGGTTAAAGACAGTTCAAGAAAAAAGGAGACATTCAGACTAGGTTAGAAACAGTTTAAGAAAAAGGTATCATTGTTCTCTTAATAACTCGTTTATAAACAATATTTGATAACTGAAATTTTCTGAAGGTCATTCAGGAGGGTAACCTTGGCAACTTATGTCAAGGTCATCGGATCTGCATCCCCTAAATGTAACTTTTACCTAAATTTATAATCGTTGTTAATATTTACAGATACAACCATTAAGACAAAAAAACTTTCAAAGTTTTAGACTGAGGCCTTAAAAGAATATTTGTTGTTTCCTAGGTGGAATTTTCTTTATATTACGGTGAATTTGTATTCTTTGCACCAACGAGACGCACGTACATTACTAAATGTTTTTGAAAAATGGAGTTAGAACAGTTAAGAACTCGGGCGACGATTTGTCGCCGAATTCAGTCATTTCATTCGCAACAACCTAGTTTATACAGATTTACATTTCCACGAACGTCCACGGTTATAGAGGGTGTCGAAAGTTTTTCCATTGAAACAAAGAGAAAACAACGAGAGTTCTCCGTCGATGCCGCCATTTTATATACAGTTGGGTGGGGGAAAAAAAAGGTTGGTCCCGTTGAAAAGGAGCACCGCCGATAGTGTAACGCCGATCCGCGGCCGCACGAGCTTCTGGACCGCGTCGTTGTCGGGTCGGCGTTCGAACGGAAACGAACGGGCGACGGATGGTTCGTTTTCGATTAAAAGCTCCCGGCCCCGTGAATGCCCGTATCCGAAATCAATAATTAATTTCGCCCCCTGTGGGGGTTTGGGGGGTGGAGGACGGGCTACGCGCCTGGGAACGGTCGCCGCACGGAAATTGTCGGGCACCAGCGCTCGGTTACTGCGATGCCCCGATAAAACGTCCCTTTTTATCCCGTTCTCTCAGCCGGCCAGATTATTGGATATTATTCCATTTCCAAGCGTTCAATCCCGCCACGATTCGCTCGCTCGGATACCCACGGGGACATCCTCTGTGCCGTTCGTCGATTGCCGCCACTTATATGGACCGTGTGCACACCTGTATTCGAACTCGATTTAAACGCGCGCGCTACGTCCGACGTGGGATATTGTTCACGTCGTTCGTTGTATGGAGAATTGAAACGTTTGACGGATACTTGAATTGGAAAACGGGTAAATGAACCTTGCAACTAGGGATAAACCGATACCGTCGAGGTATCGATACTTTTACTCATAACTTGTATCGAAAAAAAGTATCGATACAGTAAACTCACGTTAAAGTAGCGGTAGGAATGGCCCAGCTTACATGTATTATTCACACACGTGCGCGTACCCTACTATGGGTTGCAATCTGTAACCAAATTTCTGATCCAATTGGTGGATCGACCGAACTGTCACGAGATTTTCTGTGCCCATTGGTTCACGTTAAAGTAGCGTTTTCAGGAAAAACCGACCTCGAGAGCTCTGCACCGCTACTTTAACGTGAGTCTACTGTATATACTTAGTATCGCATCAAAAGTATCGATGCCCACTTGTATCGAAGGAAAATGAATATGAAGTTCTTTTTTTATTGGTATAATATATTTTAATTAGAGTTGAGCAGAATTTTATTCGAATAATACATAATAAAAAGCTGCAGTATCTAAGAGCGTCATCTTGTGCTTTAAACAGTTCATGAGATTGAATAATTGTTTCCCAGATGTGGACTCATTCAGGAAGAAGTATTATTTTGTTATAAAAATTAGACTATCCACGTTTGAACGATTAAAAATGACCAAGTACTTTTTTGTCTTATTCGTTATTCGAAACTTTTTATCTAGATAATGAATTTGCCCATCTCTGATTTTAACGAAGATATATTTTATTAACGAACATTTATTCACAAAGTAATATAACTGAACGACAACCGCCTTCAAATTCATTTAGCTTTCATATCTTCCAGACAGCACACAGACGGCTTAAGACGGCTTAATGACGGTTTAAAACCGCCTCAGACCTAAAATAGCCATAAAATGGGCGTCTTCGAGGCGTTGTGTGCTATCTGGGCGATTATTTGCTACATTCGATGTATTTATTTTCGATACCGAGTAGATATCGAAACAAAGGAATCGATTATTTGCTTGTATTTACTTGAATCGGTTTATCCCTACTTACAACAAGCATACGATCGGCACAACTTTTCAGAACGCCATTGCAACCGTTAGCCTATTAACCTTACTGTTATTCTTACTTACTCTTCACGTTTGCATCCCTTTGAATAAAATTATTTCAAATTTCGAAATGATTTGTTCTTGAGAAATGTAAACTACGCAAAAAGTAGACGTGAAATTTAAATACGTTAGACACCAGAAACAAATATTCAAAAATATAATACCTATCGAAATATAATATTTACTTCAGGTAATATAGGTATATATAATCGGGACTTTCGATTTTACTGTTTATCAATAAGGAATTACTAAGTGCACCAATAAGTATACTGTTTCTTGTGAAACTTTGTGTACTCTCCTCAAAATAATTCAAGTAGCCACCCTATTTTAACAATACCGCATTTAAACAGAAGATTGGAAAGGTACATAGTGGTCTCTCCCAGACTTCCCACAAGCCCCTAACGCCTCGGACCCTTTTTTTTGTATCATCCTGCATAAATGTCTCCGAGAGAGAATTCGAGTACAAAACTGAGGGCGCGTGAAAAGGGCCGCGGAAGGGTAGAGGGGGTAAGGTCGACGTCCAACAATCAGGAGGAAGACTCGATAGTGATACGGGGTTCAAGGAAGGAAACCCCGGCCAAGGGAAATGGAGTAGAAGGAGAACGAGGAGGAGGACTCTGTAATTAACTGCTACGAGTGAGAGAGAGGGAGGGAGACCGTCCGGGGATAGTCCCGTTTGAGTCCCTGAGAATCCCCCCGGGACCTGACCCGTCGTATCAGACGCCAAACACTCACTCCCGCGCCGTCGGGGTCTCGGCGTCGGCCAACCTCGAAGCCGCCACGTTCAAGTTTCGCTACGATAATTGCCTTCGCTTCACAGTCGCGCCCTCCGACACCCGCAGCATTGGATAAAAGGCTCCTCCTCCGCCACCTCTTCCTCCTCCCCCGCGAACGGGGTGAACGTCGGGGAACGGTTGCCGCAGGGGAAACTTGATAATGGGTTTCAGCCTCTGAATTTACGCGATTCCGATCTCCCCGTCACGGGAACTCCTAGATACTTCCCCTTCGGCGGAAGCTGCGCAGCGGTTTGGAGAACATTGTCCCCTCCTATCCCCTCGCCTATTCGAACGACGATACTTGCGGGGATATTTCGCTCGTATCGATCGACGAGAGGACGAGGAGATTATTTACACGGGTGTTTGATTGTTAAGAAGGGCACACGTAGTTCCATTTTTGACACTAGAATTACCAAACACGTTTAAATGAAGGATTACTGATTTACTGTTTTGTTATTATTGAAGTGGTAATGGGGCTTTTGACGGAATTTATGCTGGCTTTGAATTTACTACAGATTTTATTTTATGGTATGTTATACTAGATTGTCTTATACATTGTATATATTATTGTATTATACAATTCAATTTAGTATACATTCAATGCTGGTAGTTCTAGTGTCAACCCTATTAACGCCCAGCCCCT